AATCAAACTGGAACACCTTGCCCACGCCAAGAGCAGATTAAGAAAGAGGAGACGAGTAGTTTATATTGACTTTTTTTGCTTGCAACATCGACATCAATAAATAATTTTGATTATCATATCCCCGTTGGCTTGCAGATGCTTCGTTTCATCCCCTTAGTTCCAAATGCTGGATGTCACAACATTTATGCGGTTTCTGGACGTATGAAGTCTACAGCTGGTGTATGAAATACTAATTTCATCAAACAGGAATATGACTTAATACCTAAGCCTTAAAAGGTCCAGCTCTATATTGTTTCCCTTTTTCTGCTGCATAGTATTTAGCAAACTATTCTTCTGGATCTTTATCAGTAGCTCAGAAATTTAGCTATGTTCTTATTTGGGATTCAATATGGGGGATTCCAATACTGACTAAACCTCATTAAGGAAATCTAAAGATTGTCATATTCCTGACTGTACTAACATCCAATACCAGTATTTACTTAGGTGCATTACAGTATACTTGAGTACATATTTAATATCTTGAGTGTAGTTATGTTTGTGTGTGTGTGTGTGCAAGTGTGGTTGTTCTCACAGACATGTAATGAGGGCTTCGATCACCTGCCTCTCTCGTCATTGAACCGGAGATGGCAACTCTGCCTGTGAAGCTTTCTTCAGTGCTGCCACCCATCTGTAAGAAAACGATTAAGTATATGAGGTGACTCAAGAAAACTTTTTCAACTGAGATCTGACTTTCAGCAATTCAAATTTCAAAATAATGGCATCATCCTAAAATATTACTTTCCGATAATATAAATAACATTATATAAACTAATTTTTTATTGTGATATTTTCCTGCCTAACTTTCAGATATATGAATATATAAAATGACTGGCACAATTAGAGATAATATTAGAAATAAACTCAGCAACATTTTATCTCTTTATAAACTAGACACTAATAATTCTGAGTGCTAACAATAACTGAATCTTAATCTGACCTTAAAGAATCCTCCTTTGAAGCTGCCAGGAATATATACTGTTTCTTGGAGTGGTGCAGCTTAAATGCCCGTTCTTTTTCCTTATCATTAATACCACTTTCATTTCTTGTGCCCTGTTAAAAGAAAACATATTATGGCAAATTACATTTTTGTACCATCACTATGGCACCTTGCTATTTATGTAACCATACACAGTCTGTAACTAATAATAATAATAATAATAATAATAATAATAATAATAATAATAAACAACAACAACAAAAAAATACTCTGAGATTGCTCATTCCCCTTCTTTATCTACATTCCTTCTATCTCCATCTGAATGGAGTGAGATATAGCTCTCCTCTGCACGAGAACTGAATGACAAGGCAAGGATATAATGAAAATGTTGATAATAGTAAGGCACAATAATGTCTAAATGACAGATTTTTGCTACGTAACTTATTTAGTGTTTTGTTTCATATTTGTTACATTTTGTAAATAGGACTATTTTCTTAGACAATTAGCTCACCTGCCAAAAATATATATAATATTTTTATATACATATATGTGCATACATATCTGTACATACTACATGTATATATACATATACACGTATACATACATATACATACACACACACACACAAATATATATATACAGGAAAGGATTGCTGTTTCATTTACTTAAAGAAATTATATAACTAGAAAAAATCATGAAAACATGAAATCCTTATATTTCCATTATTTATATACTTATAATCAAATGCAGTTTTGCTGTGTCACTCACTAGCACTCAGCATACTCACCACTTCCTGTAATTCTCCACTATTACAGAAATACTTCTCAGGGACATTGTGAAAAAGCATGCACTGAATCAAGCTCCTAATGACTTCGCTAACAGGAACATAAAACTTAACAATTGGTAAAACCATTACTGATACCATTACATGATATCAAAGTGCTAGAAGGTTCAAGGATGGAAAAAAAGAAGAAAATTTACATATGCAGCTTATCTATCTTAACCCACTGATGCTCGGCATATACATTTCGCTCAAGTTTTTGTTTACACACAGATAGCTTCACAAACACTTCACAGTTACCAGGCCTACCTGATCTCACCATTTACTCCATTCTATTTCTATAACCAATTCTATATATCTATTTTATTATTATCATCAATATTACAACCATCAATATCACTGTAATGGTGTTATTAACACTGATAACAGTAATAAAAATAACTTTTAAAAAATATTTAAGGAATGACAAATGAGGTCAGGGCCACTATAAATACAGCCCAGGAGAAAGGGCTTCGCATTGGGAAACCACGTGGCGGCAAAGGGTTAATTGTTTTTACACACAGATGGCTACACTTGTACAAAGTCACCAATGATCTAATTATGAGTAGTGCCGGTCTTGCCTGTTTACCCTTTTCCTTGATGTTCCCAAAAAATTTACGTTGTCTTATTTTGCTGTTACTAATGTCTATAACATTAATTATACTGTCTATAATAAAAATAACACCACTGATATTTGCAGCATC